GAACCTTAAATAGAAAGTGCTGTGATGTCATTCCTTACCATAAATACTAGTTTTTGCTGTGATGTTCATATTCATGGCTGTATTTTGTACATGTTAAAAATACATTATCCTCTAAAGGTATCTGAATGCCAGTAGTGCTGTAATTCTGCTGTAGAGATCAAGTTAAGTTACTCCTAATGGATTATACAAGTAGAACATGAGTGTTAGTATTTTGAGTACGTTTTTTTCCATGATGTCCAGTATGACTGTAACGCTGTCATAAGATAGATTCTAAATGGTTGTGATGATGGTATATAACATTCAGAATTACTGGGTTTTTGGACTTTTCCTATCGTCCAGTATTCTAGAGGTTAAAAAACACTACGTTTCGGAAACTGGATCTGTTTGTGTTCTCGGGTGAGGACAGGGGGAAGACACCTGTTCGGTTGGGCTAACCAGTAATTAAGGTTAGCGCTTTCTAATGGTCCCAATTGAGTAGGTGTCTTCCCCCCCCCCTTCACCTGAGGATGGGAACAGGTCCAGTTTCCAAAATATCATGTTTTCTACTCTCTAGAATGCTGGATGATGGAAAAGGTCCAAAAACCCAGTAATTCTGACTGTCATAAGAATGTATTTACCCCTGCTGTAGCAATCCTAAAATCAGGTAAGGAAAAGAATGAACACGTATTCTTTCCCACCTGTCTGCCTAGCAGCTACCTTCCTTCACTCTCAGCCGATGTGACATGTATTCTGGTTACTTTTCTTCTCTTTGCATTTTTAATTAGTCATTGGTGTCCACAGAGTGAAGGTGTGCAATATAGGTAGGGTGAGAGAGCAGGTGATCAATTTGGATCCACACACCATCCATGATCCCCAATCCAAGTGCATCAAAGTCAGTGGTTTCAATGGATTTTGCAACATTTGAAATAGTACATTACTAACTGAATCATATGTAATTCATTCTTATCTTATGCAATGATGATGGTGTAGAAAACTAACCATGTCACTGAAATATGTCATACCTGACTGTTTACATTACACTTCATGAACATTTCTCTACATCAAGCAAGCTTACTAATTTACCAGATGTTTCCCAGGGTCTGGGAATTTTATTCCTTTGCTCCTCCTAATACACATATAGCTGAATGTAGTAAAATTAAAATATTTTATTCAATCATTGCCTGTTAAAGTCTCACTTGAAATATTTATGCTATCACTTCGCTGTGTTGTGCAGCACAAGGTTAACTGCATTCCAGCTGGAAATTAGCCTCCAAAAGGCAACTCTGAAGCTCCAGCTCCTTCATTACATCAAGAACATAAACAGGCTATCAACAGAAACAGACAAATTGCCAATATTTGTAAATCTGATAAGTTTTATTGAGGTTCGAAGGATGTTCCAGTATTTCATGACGATAGTGTATGTTAACCTATGTAATTCATTAAGGGGGTTTAAATGTTAATCACGTGTCATGGAATGTGATATAAATACACGTAATATTCTTAGAATGTGCAAAACTGAAGGGAATGTTGTATGTGGCTGAATTCCATAAATGAGTTAGTGATAACACAGTACTGCAGAGAATAATATATTTTTGTGCAGTTTAAAAACATATTTGTTATGCAATTTTCATTATTGAAATACTGTTCCATTGTAAGATAAGCACACATATTATATAATTTTCATATAGCTTCTAGCATATTGTTCTGTGCCAGATGTTTGGATGTGAAATAATGATCGACCTAATCTCTGTTTAGCCAATGATGAGGACAATAAAGCAGCAGGGTGAAATATTGTACAGCTGAATAATGGGTCTTTGTTGTTTGCTAAAACTGTGTGCTGTTTTTATTATATGGTGTTGTTTGTGACAGAAATGCATACAAATACAACATATCTTGTAAAGTATAATACATTTTACTAAACCTCATGAACTTCATTTTCTGTAAATAAGAACTAGAAGTTTGTGATGATGGTACATTAATACAAATAGTATTATATTTCTGGAAATTATCCATCATCCTGTTTTTATCTAAAACACCACTGTAACAGAATAATATAAGAATGTGCTGCAGAGGGCCACTGTGTTTGAAGATTATAGTAGCAAAGAACAACGTTCTGCTGTGCGTTTCTTTTGTGTGAGCAAAAGAACTCAATGCAAAGGATAGTCACACAGAAATGTTTCCTGTTTATGGTGGGAAGTGTTCGTCATGCAAAGTGGTTCCCAACTTGGTCGAGAAATTCTCTCAAGGATGTTCAAAAGTTGCAGATAATGCCTGACCAGGTCGCCCTGCTGAGATTGTGACAGAAGAGAATGTGCAGCAAGAAGAGTTTATTCAAGTTGACAGGAGGATAATGATAGACAGTGTAACAACTGCACTAGGGTATTCCCATCGTTTTGCATATAAGTACAGCATAATGTATAATCGTTTGAAGTTTTGAAAAGTGTGAGCATGGTGGGTGCTCAGAGAACTGAAGGACTGAGAAAAAATGAAAACAAATTGGTCTGTCCTTGCAGCATTTCTTACGGTATGCAGATGAAGGTGAAGATATGCTTAACAGGATTGTTACTGGGGACGAATCATGGATGTATCACTAACAACCCGACTCAAAGCGTGCTTCAATGCAATGGAAACATTCCAGTTCACCTTCAACCAAAAAGTTTAAGCTTATGGCCTCAGCTGGAAAGGTTATACTTACTGTGTTTTGGGATTCTCAGGGAGTAGTGTTAGCCAACTTTCAGAAGCATGGTGAAAATGTGAATTTTGCATCATACTGTGAGGTTCTTTTGAAGCTTAGGATGCAATTTGCTGAAAACGTCCAGGCCAACTGGCAAGAGGGGTACTGCTTCATCATGACAATGCCACACCCCATACAGCACAACAACCCAAGAGAGAATTTAAGAACTACAGTGGGAACTTCTTGTACATCCACCTTACACCCTGGACTTGGCCCCTAGTGTCTTCCATCTGTTTGGTCTGCAGAAAAAACACCTTGGTGACAAACTTTTTGCTGATAACAAAGAGGTTGAAACAGAGGTGAAAATGGCTGAGACAACAGTCAAAAGACTTCTGTACTGTGGGTGTCAATGGACGGGTAAAATAATGGGACAAGTGTATCAATGTTGGTGGTTGATCTGTTGAAAAATAGTTTTTTTTCCAGGTTCAAGTATCACATGTTTTACATTTTACATCCATTTTTGGCCTATTTACTGACTTTCCCTCATACCATTCATTGCATCTTCACAATTAGGCTGGATTGGGAGGGGTTAAACATCAAATGTGGTCAGTTATCACTCAATGTCTTTCCTTCTACCGTCTCTGCAGAGAGGATGACTGAATCCAAGGCCTGATGTTTATCATATTCAGGCCCTCCGGAACCTCCTTTCAGCGCCATTTGGTGGGTGATTGGTGTCAGTTTGGCACACACACAATATCCTATGCCCATTTTAATCGTTTCTTGCATCCTGTTGTGTGTTTAATTAATAGTAGAGTGAATTTACCGACTACACAACACGTTTTGTGTTGTGTAGTCCATAAATTAATTCTACTATTAATCCTATGCCCAGGCGGTCACCGACCGCCATTTTGCTACTCCCACGATTGCGATAAACAGAGCTGCAACCACCCTCCCCCCATCGGCTGTAGTTGTCCATATCATCAGGTGTTTCGTTCTGTCAGCTTCCACGTATCAATGCTTCGTGCTTGGTACCAACCAGTTAGGTTCTAGCTCCTGCAGTGTGTGCGTTACCTTGTCACGATGCGTGTTTTGGCTGTGCTCAGCATCGTGGGTAGCTCCAACTGGTGGTAAGGCACCCTCGACTATTCTACCCAAGACTCACATTGACAAGGTGAATATAAGACAGATTGATCTGAGATTAGGTCACACCCTCTAGATTGGTTCAGTACTCCAGAGTTTCAGATTATCATCTCCTTTAATCTCACACAGCTGAGTCTATGGGCATTTACATTCAAGTTTTGTTAGGTGTTCCAGTGAGTGGAGGTGGCTAGTAATAAAACTAATCTTTCGAATAAGGACAAAAAATTTGGTTACATGATAATTTTGTTGCGCAATTCATGCATGGAATTCCTCCCCCAAAATAGGTTAATCAGACACTTTTCCCGACTCTGTTCAAAAACTGCAATGGTGAGGTCTAAACTCAGGCTTAATTCAATCAAGTCGGTGTACAGTTTGGTCAGCAGCGACTCTGCCTCTGTAACATAACAACCTTTTACACTTGCAGTCTGGTGGCATTACCTATTCCCTTGAGGATTCCTTGAACCTTCTGAACCTCTGTCTGCTGTTGTTTCATGCAGTGAATTAGATGTGCTATGGTTTTAAAATCACATTGTCTGTTTATTTGTTGCAACAAGTTCCAGCCCAACATGGTCATCATCAGAACCATTAACTGTGATCACACATATTTACATGCTAATATGCATGTTGTCTTTATTCCAGAACGGAGGTACGCAGTAGTGTAGTTGGTTGAGGCACTATGCTGCAAGCAGGAAGGTTGCGGGTTCGAGTCCTGATGGAGTGGTCCCCCCCCCCAATTTACCTAATCCTTCCAGCCGCACTATGGCCCTGGGTTCGACTCAACCTCTAACAGGAATGAGTACCAGGAATGTCTCTGAGGGGGTAAAGGGCGGCCGGCGCGTAAGGCTGCAACGTCACCGCCATCTGTGAACCTATTGTCTAGAAGATGTGGGAGCCTCAACGTCTCACAACCCCATGGGCCTCCACTGCCTCTTACAAGGGTAACTTTCACTTTATTCGAGAATGCACGCCGGCACCCCTCACGCTATTTTCGTGTTGCAGCGTTCACGGTGTGTCACTTTGTACGTAGTTTGTCTAGGTCGTCTAGGTCGGGCGTGTCACTTGTATTGATTGATTTTGTTAACTTTCTTGCCGACTGAGCTCCTGCACCAGTTGCTATCGCCGGACTGTAGTAGTAGTTTTACAACTTTTGTCAATAGATGGGAGAACAAATGCATGACGTCATAAGCCAAGTCCCATGAATTATGCATTAACATCCAGTTAAGCAACGGTCCTATTTTATTTGGCCATTTGATCAGATCGTAGTGGTCCTAATGCTTTGTTTTTGGTGAATGTGCATTGTTAGTAGCTTTGCGGCTTTTTAGCTCTTAGGGCTCCAAGGTTGCTGTTGGTACCGTCGATCATTGTTGTAATGTGGCGATGGTTTGTTGGAAAGTGCAAAATAATACAATTATTGCAATGGGAGATAGATTTTGTTACACGTACTTTTTCTGACTATGTCTGTTAATTTTCTTATGCAGCTATCTTATTTTTTTACGATATGTGTTTTGGACCCTTGAAAAAACTTTGTCATTGGGGTCCACTTGCAGCTTTGGGTAAGGAATTTGGTGTATAGTTTTGGTACAGTTACTTGATTTTCCTTTTTAATACTGTTTCATCCAGTTTCCATTTAATGATTTCTCCTAATGCATTATGGCTAGTTTGAGCTGAGCAGAATATTTGGTATGTTAGCAAGAGGTTTTCTCAATTTTGACGATTTTAACCTGATGAAGAAAGAATTGGAAATAAAAAAATTAAGCAGCCTCAACATTATACTTCAGTTATGATTTGGCTTATCAGTGATCACCTAATTTGTTGTTATTACGTTCGTTACTTCATACTGTGCTGGGGTAAAGGGTCAGGGCCATGAAGACAACCACTGTTCTCCGTTTAGTGCTGAGGTTAAGAGCATTTCAGTTGTACCTCCATTCCCCAATACATCTTTATGATATGGTGATTAATTAATTAAGTACAAGGAAAACTTTACATTCACTCTATTATATACACACAGGGCTAGGTAGATCAGTCATTGTTGTGACCAGGTCACAGGCTGGCTGGCTGGAGTTTGATGCTTGGTGAGGCGTCAATTTTTCTCTTCACCAAACCTGCTTTGGGACGCACCCAGCTTCTTTATCCAGTGGTCACCTCTGTATAGTGCTTAACATGAAGTGAAGAAAGACGTAAGCTTTGCCTCTACAAGAATGCAGTAGCCCATAATGACTCCGTTTGGTTTGGTGTACACTGATTGTATAATTAATCAGAGTAGTACTTAATGGATCATGTGGCCTTGAGAATGGTAGGGGTAGTACATCTTTCAGCAAAGATTTAAATTTAAATTTTAGAATGCAGTAGTATGGATGAACTGTGCGTTAAATTTTAAAAAGGTTTCGTGTATTGATATATAATATTTATTACATGAACAAAAATCTTGGTATGATATTGATTACTACCTAGAACAGTGTTTCTTAAACTGTGATACTGGTGTCCCTAGAGATACTAAAGGGGCTTGCTAGGGATCCTCATTTTCAGCATTCCCATTGAAAACTTTTCAGTGTATAATTTTATTTGGCCCATAATAAGTTGTTGGTATGGCTACATATGACATAGAGGTGATCATTTTTATTTGTATTATAAGAGCATTAACTTTTAAAATTAATACCGTGGCATCTTTATAATTATTTAACTTTTGGAGTGTACCCAGTACAAGAAATCTGAGAGTTGTTGAGTTAGGTTACTATTCTTGTTCATGAGGATAAATTAGGTGGAGCAGTCATTTACTAATGATATTTACTGTACTAGATAATTACCATCTCAAAACATTTTAGATGCTATAAACTGAACTATAAATATTTGATTAGAATGAGATATCTTCAGATTTATAAATAAGTCATGCATATAAATGGAAAAAGGGAACAGGAACAGTACATAAATCTAACTGTTTAGAGGTAGTATCGCTAAAAAGTATCTGTCAAGTCTCTCAGAATTTATTTGAGGTTTTCATGGTGATGAGAATTTTAGTCGTGGGCTTTTAAATTGTGACATTCTGTAGTCTCATAGGTGGTTACCAATGTCTGTGATGGACGTGCAGCCTCTGTCTTCAGGTAGACATCTAAGATGGACTTAATTGTTTCTTGCATCCTGTTGTGTATTTAATCAATATTAGAGTCAATTTTACCGACCACACAACATATTTTTATTATTATTACACTACATGTTTTGACCTCAAGAGGTCATCCTCAGGTGTACGAACACAGCTGTATAATAAATTTAAATTTTAACTTTTGATATTTAAAATTTTTAAAAAATTTAAAATTTAACTTTTGATATTTAGAACAATTTTAACTTGTGTTTTATGAGAGAGCTTGATATATTATTGAGCGTGAGCCTGAATAAGATACAGGATCGAATAAGTGAGAAGACGAACGTGACTGCGTGTAATTATACAGCTGTGTTCATACACCTGAGGATGACCTCTTGAGGTCGAAACATGTAGTGTAATAATAATAAAATTATGTTGTATGGTCGGTAAAATTGACTCTAATATTGATCTAAGATGGAGGTAGCAGGATCCGTCCAAAACATTGGTAACCACCTATGACAGTGTCCTAACCCAGAAAATCACATTCCATATCAGAATACCTAATTTTTCATTTTTCACCACCATGTTTTGATCCCTTTGTTGGGCTGTAATCAGGTGGTTACAGCTATAACAGGATTTTCATTTATCCTTGCAGTCCCCTTACATAACAGATCCATTTCCATGAGCCACAGACTTCTAGCCTGAGGTTGGAGGCAGCAATGTTGGTATCTGTGTTCAGGATTGTAGGATGTTGACATTGTTCTAAATCACAGTCTTTATGCATCATGTGTTTAGTCTTTGCTTATAGTGTAGGTTTAGCGGCCTCCGTAATCTAGAGGTAACATTCTCACCTCATGACTCGTACGCGGGTTCAAATACCTGGCGGAGGTCGTCGAATTTTTAAGGGCGGAAAAATTCAGGGAACAAGTCCTCCTGGAGGGACTTTAAGCTGTGTGTCCCGTGTCGTAACTTTACGGCACGTAAAAGAACCTCATATCCCCAAAGGGGATCACTGAGCCAAATTCCAGGACGTTTCCCGCCCCACAATAGTCTCTAAGGCCTCTGATAGATGGGAGAAGCATTATAGATACCGCTAATCAAGTGGCCAAACTCGCTTGCTCAGCGGGCCTGATGGTACGCACCATTTATCGGTAGGGTATAGAGACTGGTAGAATATCATAGAGGGAAGCACAATAGATCAAACTGGTCGTGGTGCATGGGGAAACTCACCCTCTCTAAATAACTAACTAACTAGTGTAGGTTTGGAAAAGTGACTGTGGTTTAACCCAAGGTGAAATAGCTGATGGGATGATGCATATTGGTAAAATTGTAATGACAGAACTTGTTTACAGCTATAATCAAGAGTATATCATTTATGACAGCCTACTGTAGCAACATGTGGTGGCCTCCTACTGAGTCTGTTGGAGGCTTACTCAACTCTGCTATATTCTTCGCTTTCAGTGCCCTTACATTATATAACTTCATGAGTGCCATCTTTGAAGGACCAGGCTACTTACCTACGCAATGGAAGCCTGTAAGAATCCAGTGGGATAGTTATAACAATTGATAAAAGAATTGACTGTAAACGATGTGATCAAAGTTTATTTTATCCTCTCTCTTTGTGTCATGTATGACATTGTCCAGGCTCAACCAGAGGATGCGACATATCTCCAGTATTGCAACACATGCCAAGGCTACAAGGCACCAAGGGCACATCACTGTCGCAAATGTAAGTTGTTATCATAGCCAATATTTCATGTCTCTCTTTATAAAAATTCAGGCCTGCATAAATCCCAGGTGTCAGGTTGCCGTGGCACCAGAAATGTTTATGTTGGTGCTTTGAATTTTCTTCCTATTATATTACTTCTAGCACATGACCTGGCAAATATGGCAAGCAAAGGAATATCCCTGTTTCTTCCCTGTATCCCTTTTATGTGTTCATCTATTTTTTTTCCCAGTGTTCCTTTCCTCTACATTTTATTTATCCATCCTATCATCATTCCTGTCCCTGTGCCTAGCGCTGGTGCATTTGGAATGAGCTGGCTATTCTTTATATACTGTAAATGTTTCACTTATCCTTTGGTTAATAAAAAGGAGCAAATTTCTCACCCAGTGTATTTTGTTTCTGTTGTGGTTCCTAGTTTTTGGAGTTGGCTCTTGCATTTGTACAGGCACAATGAAGTTAATTTAAAGCTTCTGTCACTTTTTAAGATAATTTATTGCCATTGTACTGTAGTTGCTCCATGTGAACGTATGTTAAGTCCATACCTATATACCAGACTGAAATCATGTTCATATTGGACAGTTGAGGTTAGCATTTCATGTGAATGTATAATTTTGTTTTAAGATATCGTATATAGTAGTATATATTTAGGAGACTGAAAAAATATTATCCATTAGTTGTAGCTACCAAAAAGTAGGGATGTTTTATATTACACATTGATTGATTTATTTAACATCCATAACTGCTACATTATGTACAATTGGACAAGTCAGTTTTTTATAAAAAAATATAAGATTAAAAAACATCACATCAAATGACTAATAATATAAAAAACCATAGAAAAATAACATAATATGATAATATTGATGATAATATAAATATGATAAAACAGTGGATGAGTATAATTAGGCAACAAAAGCTAAACTATAAATTACATGCAATAGCTAAAATAAATTACCCAAGTATCTTTATTCTATTATTGCGCTAATTCTTGTAAAAATATTCTTGAAGGGAATAAAAAGCTTTGCACAACAAGTAATCCTTTAATTGACGCTTAAAAACCTTGAACTCTTGAATACTTCTTATTTGAGAGGGCAAGTTATTATACAATCTTATTCCCATGTTAATCACACTCCTTTTACAACGTGAGGTGTTACATGGTTGGACATACAAATTCTGCTTATGTACTGTGTTATAACCGTGCACATCTGAATACGAGATGTTATATATCCTATTTTTCCTTAAAAAACACAACGTCTCAAAGATATACAATGAAGTTAAGGTTAAAATTTTAAATTCACCAAAAAATTCTCTACACGATACCCTGTTATTGACTCTTTTGATCAGTCTTAAGCATTTTTTTTGGATTATAAATACAGTTTGAATGTCCTTTTGACCTTTTTCTTCATGTAACTAGTCCTCTTTTAGTCAGTGTTCGTCAGATACAAATAGTGTTATTATCAGTATGAAGCTTATGTCATTTATCCAAAGAATGCATCCAAGTCTGAGGTGGTTTATGACATTTCATATTGATATTAATTTCTGCTGTGATTTTTATTTTTGTGTGGGGGCTCATGCTATTTGTACACTGTCATACAGATTTTACTGAGCTTGTTCACAAATGGCTCACATTTAGTAATATACTCCAGTGATAAAAATTACCTCAAAAGAAAGCAGCAGTGAGTCAGAATGTAACAGTCCTTCCATTCTCGTCCTTAATGGCATAGACTCGGCTGTTGTTGTTGATGCCACTTGGTCTTAAAGAAGAGCTTGAGAGCAGTGAGGAGGGAGCAAAGTTCAGGGTTCGAGCAATGAGATTCTCTTCAGGGCTAAATGGGCCTTGCTCAGATGAGAGAGGTTTTTGTGGAAGAAGTCTCTGGATCACAACTTAGTTGATGAAATAATGTACTTGATTTATTTTGTCAGCACTACACACTTTTACAAATCAGACACTTCAGTTCGGGTACAACTGTTCTCCTACACAACTATGCACCAAAATTATGGTAACTATGAATGCACTGGATACATATACACACACTATGAATACTACTACTGTTACTATACACATGTTGAATATCACACTCTTATAACCTGTCTGTTACTTACTTCATGTCTGTTGTTGTCTGTCTCCCATCATCTGAAATCAGTCACTTTAAATACTATGGGATGGCGTAATATTCTAGAACCTTCTGCTTCGAGATTATTCTCGAAGCTTCTTCATTGTTTTACTCGTTGAGAGCGTTCTGGAAGTTTCTTTAATTAGGCTGGTGGAATGGGGTAAGCCATTCATATACCACACCAGGTATCAGACACCTTTCTAGTGGCCCTTGTCTGAACATCCCTCGCCGCAAATTCCTAGAATAGTTAATGCAAAACTGAGCATAAGTCACATTTGGTATAAGATTGGTACTAACTAACAAGTATTAATATTTAAGAACTAGGCCGGTACGTAATGATTGGTTACAAGAATTCTCGCGAAATGAATTTGGTCTACACTACAGCAGGCACACAAGAGATTGGAAAGGGTTAAAAGTGCATTTTATTACCCGTCCAAATGCTGCAGCTCTAGGAAAAGGAATGAATTGGATCCCTGGCAGTACTATTGTATGTGAATGTAATTGAGAAAGAGAGTGATGGATCTAAGGTAATTCAACTTTTGTTAACTTAAAATTAATATGTAATAGGTGGGCAGTGTGTGCTGAAAATGGATCATCATTGTCCTTGGATCAACAACTGTGTGGGTCACTGTAACCATGCACACTTTACTGCCTTCCTGTTCTGGGCAGTGTGTGGTTGCCTACAAGCCAGTGTGGTGCTGTCTTGCTCCCTGTATAGAGCTCTAAACAGGGTAGGTACTTCAGAGGGAGAGAAGTTTAACAGAAATAACATTATTTGCTATCATAATGATGGCTATCTACATTAACATGATCCATTTTAATTTAGAGATGGCTATAAAATTTAATTAAAACTGCAGAAGATACAGTTGTTCTAGCACAAATGGGGAATTTTATGTGAATTAGAATTCAGTCGTATCTGTCTTCACTTTATTTAAGTTGATTTCAATCCACTGGTGTTGGTGGATGAAAGGAAGTTTATTAACATCAGATCCTCTTTCCCTTAAAATGTCAATAGTGATATGAAGCCCCCCCCCTCCCAAGAATAAAGTATTGTGAGCAAGGTGAACAACATTATGACAACAGCATATTTGATTTGTGGATTTGAAAACAGTGCTTTAGTAAGTTCATCAAAATATCTCATTGAATTAAATTGTAGATACATTACCAGTTAATTATGTACAGTAATTAGGCATGTGTCAAAACGACTTTTCAGATCAAGACAAGAGTTTGGAAACATTCTAGTATCAAGATGAGAGTGAGAGTTTTCCCTGCCAGACCATTTTTTAAGTGTAATAAAGGTTTGTAACATTAACCATGTTTTCACAGTGCACTGTATTGTATGGGAGGCATGCGGTAGCATAGTTGGTTGAGATACTATGCTACAAGCAGGAAGGTCGCGGGTTCAAGTCCCAATGAGGTCATTGGATTTTTTTCAGTTGACCTAATCCTTCCAGCCACACTATGGCCCTGGGGTCAACTCAGCCTCTAACAGAAATGAGTACCAGGAATATTCTTGGTGGTTAAGGGTGGCTGGCTTGTAGGGCTGACAAACTTGTCGCCATCTATGAGCCGATTGTCTACAAAATTTGGGAATCTCAACATCTCACGACCCTATGGGCCTCCACAGCCTGTTACAGGGATATCTTTGCTTTTACTTTACTTACTGTATTGTATTGCATATTCCTTTTTGTACCACATCCCTTTTCAGTGAAAATTATTTATAAATCATTGTATTAACCTTTATCGGACGAATGTCATCATATGATGTTGTTAAAAGTTAGGGCAGCTGAGCAAACGACATCATATGATGTTGCGGATTCCATGCATGTAAGGTTTTTTTTTTTAATTAAATTAAAAATATAAATTATTGTTCTATTTACATGATTTTTGGTCACCACCTTTATAAGGAGACAGCCTTCCTTCCTGCATGATCTAATGTAATCTAGCGACATCGTATGACGTTAAAAGTAAGGCCAAATGGCCGAACGACATCATATGATGTCTCGCATTCCACGCGTGTAAAGATTTTTTTAAAATTAAATTTAAAATATAAATTGTTCTATTTACATGATTTTTGGTCACAACCTTTATAAGGTGACAGCCTTCCCTCCTGCGTGATCTAATGTAATCTACCGACGTCATATGGCCGAACGACCTCATATGATTTTGCGCATTGCACGCGTGTAAAGATTTTTTTAAAATTAAATTTAAAATTAAATTTTTGCTCTACTTATGTGATATATGTTCACCATCTTCATGAGGAAACAGCCTTCCCTCCTGCATCATCTATGGTAATGTGGCCTTCTTAT